CGCTTTTAGAAATTTATATGACTCCACCTCTTTACGGACAAGTTTCCACAGATATATCTTCTCCTTCCTGACCACACATTTTCCATGGGATAAAAAGGGCTTAATCTAAAAAAAAGGTAAATTCTTTTTACAGGTGTGTGAAGGATTAAATCATTTAATCGAGGTTATTCTATATCAGTAAGCAGCAGTCCACAAACATGCTGACACCAGCTATTTTTGCTTGTGCATTCCACTACCTGAATTCACAATGCAACAGAACATACTGCTTAGTGGCTACCAGACACATACTTTCATATATGTATGTTGTTGAGTAGACATTGTATATTTTCACTTTGGTATATGTACATGCATCCATATATGTATGTGCACTGCTGTGTAGACAGTATATATTTTCACTCTTTTTTTTTCTTTCTTAGAGACAAGTCCAAAAGGTGCAGTAGAGCTGTGTTTACCTTCAGAAACTGGACATACCTTGCACTTAGTACAGGACAGTGAAGGGTGGAGGTCTGCATCCAAAGCCAGACGAGGTGAACTGTTATTGATAAGATGTAATTCTTACTGTGACACCACTCATGAAAAAGCTGTTATGTCTCACAGGGGTAAAGTCTATCAGCAGTTTCCTATCTGTTGTCTTTAACTGACTAAACCTGGTGTTGTTCTGTAGGCAGATCCATGGCTCTGCTGCGAAGACGGCTGTGTTTTTGATGGGCCATTCCGAAAGGGTTTGGAGCAGCGGACAGCCCCCTCAGCACCCTGGCTGCGGGAGGGCCCAGCGGGCACACCGTGTGCACTGCCGCTTCTTTAACTGAAGACATCACCAGATGAAGGGCATTTTAAAGAAATTAAACTATGAAAGGCTTAAGCCTACATGATCTAACTCGGTGCAGACAGATATCGCTCCCTTGCCGAGTCTTTCTCCCTGCAGTTAAGCTGGAAACCGTGACTCGCGGCTGACGGGTGCGTTTCTCCCCAGCTCAGGGCGCAGTGTCAGCGTTATCTCCCACCTCCCCCCGCCCCAGGGGCCACCCCCGCCCGCAGGCCCGTCCGGCAGGCAGCGCAGAGCAAGGCAAGGCAAGGCAAGGCAAGGCAGGGCAGGGCCGGGCCGGGTCGGGCCGGGGGCCCCGCCGCGCCCCTGGGAAGGCGCTGCCCTGCGCTCTGCGCGAGGGAGGGCCGGGCTTCCCCAGTTCAGACAAGTTCTCGCCCCGCTTCTGCGGCGGGTTTTGGTGCGACACCGTCCTGACATGTTGTAACTAGTTTCCACACCCACCGCGCCTGAGAGCGACGGGAAGTACCTGCGGGGAGCCCTGCGCCGTCCTGACTCGCCGCGGCCGCGATCGCAGGAGCTGGGTCTCCCGCCGGGCCGGGAAGAGCCGGGAAGAGGCGAAGTCCCCCCGCGGGGCAGCGGCGCAGTAAGTGGCTCTCCGTCCGCCTCCCGCCGGGGCCGCTCGCCCCCCTCGGCCCGGCCGGTACGGGGCACCGGGCGGGGGCGGGCGGCCCTCGGGAAGGGCTCCCCCCGGTGGCGGGGCCGGGGCGGCGCTGAGGGGCGCTGAGGTGCCGCCGAGCCCCGGCGGGCGCTGCTGCCCGCCCCGAGGTGGCCGTAGGTGCCACACGTGCGGTGCCCCGAGGCTGGGGCGTGGCCGAGCACGTGGCGGTGCCCGCGGATGGTTCTTTTGCCTGAAAAGTGAATTCCAGCCTCAAAAGTGGAGGAGTGGGAACGCTTGCGGTGTTGTTTCTGTGTTTGGTTCTGTTGTTTGTTTTTGCTTGGATTCGGTGCAAGCGACGGTACGGTTGCCTGTTACCGCCTGGCGTTAGTAAATAGCGAGTGCCGTCGGTACGGTTCCTTAATGCCGCGTTTGGTGGAGAAAGGGTGCAGAAGATCCAGTCGTCCCCAGGGCAGCAAGGTTCCTAGAACCCCAGAGACCACACGCGAAGGGGCTGGGACAAGAAATGTCCCTCTTGCAAGGTATAGAGATGGAAACTTTGCGTGGAAGCTGGCCAAGTGACTGGGGAAGGGGCTGAGGACGTCCCTATTGAGAGCACCATGGCCAGGGCCTTTCCGTGGACCAGCCGTGAGAGCCTGAGGTCGGGGCTGCCCCACAGATTTACTGAATGGGAAATGTTTGAAATCCTATGAAAAATAACTAGGCAGGGAAGTTTCTTGTCCTCAGCTCTAGCCTGGAAGGCTGTACTTTTGGAGCCACCCCAGAAAACTGTGTCATTTTCTGCAGAGGGAATTTCTCATGTATTGTTTTTGTGGAAGCTGGGATACTCTCCGTATCTTCCCATTAAAAACACACACTTGGTTTTCTTTCAGCTTTTCTTCTTGCTGGACTCAAGGTGGGTGATAGAGAGGACTAGAAGTTAAGCTTCTTTCTCGGGGTATAAACAACACCTCTCCTGGTAGCATTTGTGGTCATGAGTCTTACAAAGCATAGGTGACATCTGCAAAGATGGGAGGGTGGCTGTTGTCAGGGTCCTGGAAGCCTCCAGAGAAGGGCCTCATTCAGCACAACTTTGCTGATAGAATTGTTTGCTCAAGGAGGATAAATCATGAGGAATCAAGTTGATTTTGCAGAAGTTAGGTATGGTTGAAAACTACATCAAAGCTTTCCTTTAGAGTTTTGCTTAAACCTCAATCTCTCATTCAATAAATATATTGATTTCGTAGATATATTTTCTACAAAATAGCTTCTTGCCTTCTGAGGAGGAAAATCCCTGCTTCAAGACTTCTTGTCAAATATACCTGACATTATAATTTTAATTTGAGAGTTTTCTTCTGTTTCTTCTCACGAATGCATCACATGCTGGTGTCCTTACTTCAAAAAAGTGGAACTGGAATTATTTCACTTGTCTCACCTCCTCTGTGATTTATTTCCATGCTGACAGATTTAACATCTACTTCTTAAAGAAATATATGCAGCTTTAAACTTCTTTTATAAACAGCACTTGTAAATCAAAGATCAGTGTCAAATATGCTCCCTGTAAAATAGCTATTCCTGTTTGGAAGGTGTTGAGTGTAAGTTACTGTATTTGGTCCATGCAACAATTAATTGTCACAAATGCACACGCATGCAATCATTTCTGCATTATATATATGTAGATGTGCTCATAACATTAAATATTTTATATTGCACAACTCCACATACTAAATATAGTCCTGTTCCCTAGTGCTGTTGTCAAAGGGAGAGAAGAAGAGAAAGGGATTTAACCGAAGTTTTGAAATAAATGCTTGAATGTCTTTCTCAACAACATATATTGGCATCCAGTGACAAAACTACTAGGAGAATATCCATTCTAAAACAATAATGATTTCAAAAATATCTTTCAATTGCCTTAGTAAAAAAAAAAAATTAATCCTTTAATGTCATACTAAGACTGACTGTTTTCTAGCACTGTTTGGAGTGGTCCTTGTTCTGGAAGGTCCTATGAGAGGAGTATGTGAGGTGGTCAGTAAAGTTGCATCCATTACTATTGAGATTCTTCAGAACAACTCAGCCTAGTAGCTGTGCACTTTGTACTCTTGGTAGTTTTTCATTCTTTGCCTAAAACTTCTTGAAAAGCTGTTCCACATGATTGCTTTTTATGGTACACCAATTTGAAGTTTTTATTTTTGCAGTATTTTCGGAGTTTTGTCTGTGCTGCATGCTTGGTTGATCTGTCACGCTACACCACAGTCTGTCATCTGCATCTGGGCAGCGTATGTGTGAAAATAGTATTGTTTCCATTTTATAATGTCATATTTTTGCTTGCAAATGCAGTGTAGAATGAAGCCCTGAATATCTGCCATAGGAATACATATAATTCTTGATCAGAGGAAAGCTATCAGATCCCTTTTACTTGCTGCTTTCCTGTTCACCATAAAGAGCTTCTCTGGAAGCTGTAAGAAACACTCCTTTCCCCCAGGCTCAAAAGCAATCCTATCTGGGAAGATCTATCCTGCTATTTGGCTGGGAGACAGGATTCAAATGGGATTATTTCTTATGACATGCTGGTGCCAGCCTCAGATCTGGATTATTTTTTCTTTGTCTTTTTTTAACCTTAGATTTCCCAAGATCCTCAGAAATCTTGGTTTAATTGAACATTTCATTGTACTTCAGAGTACCAATAAGGCATGGAAATTTTGATTTCCATTCCTAGGTTAATGCAGCAAACTTAAGTTTCCTTTCAAGAAGATTTAAACCATTCCCAGCGGACAATAGAAATGTTGTTAGCAAAAATATCTGAAAGGACTTGATACGAATAGAGAATTTTATTTATATGTCAGTAAATGAAACTCTGTATGACTCTTCCTATTATATTGCCATACTAATAATTAGGCTTACAAGGTAACCTAGCGTTAAGTTGCAAACAATACTTTGTATGTGCTTATCATAATTATTCTGGCTTCACTAGCTGTTCTTTCCTACTTCTGTTGTCTTTCTCCTAAGCTCCACATGATGCAAGGCTTGTGTCCTAGCCCTGAGAAATGAGGCACCACTACCATACATCATCATCTTTCTGTTTCACATGGCTGGTGATGCCATTCCTGTGACATTATTTTTTTTTTTCCGGGTTTTCTGTCTGGTGTAGAAAATCATGCAGTGTAGGTTCTAGGCGAGTTGCAGGAATTCCTTAGAGTTGCACAGGCATGAGGGAAGGAATCTTGGTCAATTGTCCTCTGTCAGCCTTAAATCCGAAACTGACACAGCAGGAACCAAGCCTTTCAATCCTTGTTCAATGAAATAAAAAAGATGGTAAGAATGAATTTTTATACCATCAGCAATAAAGAGCTTACTTATTCTTACTTATTAATAATGTTTTGGAAAAAAAAAGAAAAAGAAAAAAAAAAAAAAAAAGGTGAGATTAAAGCAGCCGCTCCTTTTGGCAGAAGGAATGAGCAGGGTGGAAACTAGACACGAGATTGCTGAATCAGAGTTTGATCCCAGATGTGGGAGGGGACATCTTTCTGGAGTTCCTCATAAGTCACTGAAATGAGGTAGGCTGTACCTGCTTAGGAGCAACAAATGGATTAGATCAGCATGGGAGAACAAACAGATAAGAAGTAGGAGCTGAATTACTGTAATTTCAAAGAAGCCAGAGAAAAGGTATGTGTTGCATCAAAAATTAGGAAATAATTGTTTTCTGAAGTGTTTCTCTCAACACTACTCTGTCAGTTGTTATTATAAAGAGACTTTTGAAACGCTGCCTACAGTAGTGTACTGGAGTATACTTTGTGTATGTGTTACTGGTGCAGATCTTCAGTGTTCTGCTGTCTTTTAAATAGAAGACTTTCACCAAATCATTTCACATGCTTCGTATTGCCTTAAGTGGAAGAGGCTCCTTAAGTAGCTTCCTAATAGTCATTTGGGAATATTAATCTCTGAGCATTTTCAAAACTCTTTGATGTTCTTAGAAGGTGTGAGAAAAAGGTGTCAGCAATATTATCAGAAAAGTATTTTGCATAATATCTGTGCGTGTCTGACTTAGACTGCTACAACTATTCTGATTGTTGTCTTACTTTACTTTCCTCTCCTTCCAGGTATATTTCACCATCTCACAAATGGAAGTATAAGAGACTTTGTACAAAATATATGTGAAAATGGAAACCTCATCTTTACTATCATCCCTACATGATGAATGCAGATCAGACAACTTTATTGAGCCTCATTACAAGGAATGGTACCGAGTAGCTATTGATGCTCTAATTGAAGGAGGTTTAGAAGCCTACAAAGAATTTCTTTCGAAAGAGAGATGTTCAGAGTTCCTTGCAGATGAGGAAATTGATTATATTTTGAACAATGTTCATAAACTTCCCCAAAACACAGTTTATTCCTCTAACAATGCCATTGATGACACCTCTTCCTCGGGAACCTACTGGCCTATTGAATCAGATGTGGAAGCTCCAAATCTTGACTTAGGTTGGCCCTACCTGATGCCTGGAATTTCTGGTGGCACAAATATCGATCTGCTGTTTCATCCCCCACGAGCACAGCCTTACACCATAAAGGAAACTATTCGGAAGATGATACGAGATGCAAGAAAGGTAAACATGAAAAATACTGGGGGAAAAAAAAATTATCAATTATCTAGTTGGTGTTTTATCAGGAGCTTTTTTCCTCCCTTGGCAAGAAAAAAATTATCTGGCTGCTTACAATTTAACCTCATTTACAAGGGATCAGGGATTAGTTGAAGGAATTAATGAAGCATTATGACTATTTTACTGTATTGCTGACCATTAATCCATGAGAAAGTTTTGGTAATCAGCATACCATTGCTTTGACCTCACTTGAATATGCCTCAAATGACACAGATCTATCCAACTTCAGGGTATAATCCTAAGGTTTCTGTCCTTCATCAGTTGGGAATATATTCAATGGGAACATGCATCAGTTTGGCATGCTATCCTGTTGTTAGAAAAAAATAACATCTGTATGTACATTGTACTCATGCACCTTATGATTCTCAGCTTTTGTGATTTTGCATGCCCATTATCACCATGAAAGTTAATTGGGAAGGTATCAGAGAGTATTAAGAGTATTACTTCTCCGAATGTACTTCTCTCTGCGTAGGGACTTTTGCATCTTGAGTTTCCTAAGACTCACGTTGAGAAGAAGGTGCTGTGTATGTACAATGCATGCGCCTCTTGCTTCCTAGCATTATGTGTAACAAAAATAAAAATAAAAAGTAGATCTATAATTAAGGTGTTGAGGTGGACTCTGGGCCATGTTACCTCCTGAAACAGATGTTTCAGAAGTATTCCTAGCAAGTATACCGTGCCCTCCTTTTTTCCCCATGGAAAAGGTTTATTTTTGCTCTGTAAGGGCTTTAAATCTGTAGGACATCCAAGTCAAGTACCTCTGTAAACACTATTGTGACTTAAATATGCATGTAAGTGGGTGCAATGGAAGTGAATTGAAAAGGGCGTGTGGAAGGGAAGGATTTCTTTTTATGAGGTCTCTCTATTTAGATAAAGCATATAATTTGTTGCTACAATAGACTTATCACTAGACCATTTGTCATGCATTTTACAGCCTTGAATTATCGTCTGTTCTCAACACAAGGAAGAGAATTCTTTTGTTTTTTCCCCCTTTGTCCCTCTTAAATTGACAGTTGTCGTTTTCTTCTTTTGGATGCAGTAGGACTTGGCTTGGTTGGCATACTTTGGTCTTTTTCAACTGCTGCTCCAGAGCTACTAATGTATCTACTGAAAGGTAAAGAAGGAAAACAGAGTTAAGTCTGTTGCCAAGGCCAGCTCCGATTTGTGAGATCCCGAAACATCATGAGGAAATACTGTTTCCAGTCCTTTTCCACTTCTGCTTAGCTATTTCGTTTATATGCCATCCAGACCCTCTCCAATTGACTCTCAAGAGCTGTCTAGTTAAATGTCTTTTTAGGCAGTATGTCTACTCTGAATTTGGCTTGGCAGAAAAGTAAGTGTGATTCTTACCTCTTTTTGAAAAGGAAGTTTATTCTGTATTACATTAGCTCTCTCATAAGGCTGTGTCATTCTCATGTTACAAAGAGGATATGATGTATGTGTCACTGCCAAATGAGACAGCTGAAAGGCTTGTGTAGTTGATCAGTACAACCTCAGGAGCAGCAATCATAACACTGTTGACACAGCAATCGATACAGGTTGGTTACTTTAGGAAGCAGCAGTTAAATCTAAAAGATAGAGGGTTGTTCAGCCTCTTCTGTGAAATGTGTGGAAAAGTTTAAAGGATTTCTAAGTGAGATAAAGTAAGGTATTTAAAACATGCCTACAGCAGGCAAACACTTTGTAAACAGGCTAACCCACTTCTCCTAAGCCATGTATAAAAATATAGTTATATTAAACAGAGTTCTGTGTTACATAGTAGTGGAGACATGTTGTCATATGAATTTTCAAAGGAAGTAAAAAATGTCACACATGAGAAAAGAAACCTGTACAGAATAAAAAGGTTATTCAGCAAATCACATTAAACCAATACAGCTCTAAGCAAATTTGATGGGCATTTCAGCATTTTCCCAATTTCAGTCGGAAAATAAACAGACTGTTAAGGTGAGAGTATTCATACCACCAAAACTTTATGCACCACACCTGTGTACCTGAGTTCAGGCATTGATTTCCCTGGACTACCTGAACACTCAGTACAGTGAGAAACCAACTCCTACGTAGACAAGTCAGAGAATGCTTCTGCAGTGATCCACCCAATAAAGAAAACTATTCAACATATTTGTATGTATTTACTAGCCCAAGAATTCATAACTGAGACTAAACTAGTTGAAACGTGCACTCTTTTGAATATTTGGAGATATATAAGGATAAGATGACATTATTAGTGGACTTACTCTTGACCTCTTTCATGCTTGATGCATCACAGTGTCACTCCTTAAAATGATTATTACTTATGTTAATTCTGACCTTAAGAAGACATGTTGTAAACAACGTTAGGCAACTTGCTTGCTGACAGCAATTTTTTCCTGACTAAAGAGGAAAACCATATGTAAGGCTATGCTACACTGTACTAAAAACTGACTGTGAAATAGTGTCATAAGAAAATCTTGTCACATGCTTCTTAAATGTATGATCTGTAGAAAAATTATGCACATCATCTTCATGCTAAATTCAGTCAATATAACAATGGAGTCTTATATCAATGGACTGCATACTTGTGATATATGTTTTTGAACAAAGATTAGAATTTGTTGTACAGAAGATGACATTACATCACAGTCTACAGTACTTCTGCAGGATAGCTATGCTGTCAGAGTGAGGTTAGCAGAATGCCTCGGGTCAAACCAACTTGCCAACAAAGTGGGTTTACTGTTAGTGTAACTAGACCTCATCTTCAAATGATACAGCTTGCCAACCTTGCTCCTCTGTTGACATAACTGATGTTCATGCAAGGAGGCTGTTTGGCAGGACTATGTCAGTTCACGAACCATGAATCTTTTTCAGATGTTGATGTAACCGTGTGGGGAAGAAAGCGCTGCGAGGTCTGTCTGACCTTAATGATGGACTTTGCAAACAAGCTGGTAGACTTATTCCTTGTGTTTTGGAAGGTTGTGCCTTTAATCACTGGTAGGTTTCTAGCTTCTCGGAAGCTTGAGGTGTTCGTACAGCCTGACTCATCCCAGCTGAGCTGTCTGAACCACAACTGATAATGTTTAGCAGTTTTTCCTGACAAGATTATTCATCTGAGAAATGGTATCAAGATGATTACTTATCTTTGTCAATCTTCCTCCTCTTAATATAAAGTAACACAGAGATTTCAATAATGAAGTGTTCTTTCCCTGTATGACTTTTCATGAGTTGCTTCAAAACTATAAGTTGTGAAGCTTGCACATGGGTTTTACAAACATCTTGTACTGTTTTCTCAAGTATGATTGACAGGGCAAGGGAACAGGGAAAGGGCAGGACATAGCAGCAAAGGGTCCTTCTGGATGCATGTTTTTCTTTCACTTCGTTAACTGGATTCCCCTTTCCACCACTGAAACATTCCTACATACCATAGAGAGGATGCATAGTTCTGAGTCTTTTAGATTGATATCCAAATAAGGATCAGCTCTTCCTGGAGAGAATTCAAACCTGTTTTGTTAAGAATCATGTTGTTTAGACAACCCAAGGATTACTGCTTTGCAACACAAGCCAGAAAACACTGAAAGACTTCCTTGAAATACTTTTGGGATTCCTGATGGAATGTATTAAGTTGCAGGCTATCCAGTTAATATACCACACTTTGCACTGATTTATTTTATTCAAATTGCGTAGCATCTTCAACCTGGATTCATAAAATCAGCAATAATTGTAAGACTTTTTAAAAAGTTATTTCTTAAGAAGATTGAGATCTAGATGGTTAATGTATGATTATTTTGGAAAATTGAAGAGAGGCAAGTGTTTCTACTGAAATTGGGTTTTTTGATGTTTACAAAACTTGAAGCCATGAGAAAGAATTAATTTATAGTGTAAAAGGGTGTAACCTGTTATTAAGTCTTGCTGGACCACCTGTATGTAGGCCTTTAGTAAGTTACAGAGGACTTTTTTGAGTTCTTGGGAGAGAACTATTGTATGAAGTCTAAGTATCATTTCTGTCTTGTCTTGCAGAGTCCTGGCCTAAGTCAAGTAAATAAAAACAGTTGATTCTTTTTACATCTGTGGAAAAAGGAAATTAATTTCTTCTGATTTCTTTTTTTCCCCAGTTCGTTTGATTTGTTTTCATACTTTAAGGCATGAGCAAGAGGATGTGCATAACAGAAAAAAATGATCATATGGTATTGATCTCCTTGTTTGGATATGTGCATAGATACATAAATAAAGATCTAGTACTAGCTGTATACAAATATGAGAAAAAACCAGGCTCTTTATGTGCTTATATGAAGAGTGATGCCTCCATGCAGAAAGAAACTTGTAGAAATGGGTGTGGAAGACTGTTAAGCAATCATTTTTACTCTCAACAATACTCTTTGCCAACTATTTTAAATATAATTTGAACAGAGATTGGAACAATGATAGTGAGTTATGCTTGCAGCAGTGCTTATCTTAGCTCATTAACTACAGCAGTCCAAGTAGATGAGAGAGAGGGGCTACAATTTATTGTTCATAAACTGAAAAAATTACTGAATCCCAGGAGAAAGGTTGGTAAATGAAATAGTCATCCCACTGAAAAAAAAAATATGCTATTTCTAGAGTCCCTGATAAACGATGGATATATTTTTTAAGTTCTCAGTTGAAGATGTCTGAACAAAATTTTCCTTGCTAAGATATGCTACTAAACAAGGACTTCAGCAGGTGTTTTAGTACCAGCTACATTTAAAAAGTGCATTCATCATCTGCTTCTGCCCACCTTTGGGTTCCTGGTATTTGCAGACCAGCATGGCAGTCATGCGTATACTTTCCAGGTGAAACATGATGCTAGCCTTTTGTAGATTCATTACAGAGAATAAGGTTGTGTCCCAGTTTTTCTAATCACATAGGGGACATGCAACACACTGGACGAGGATGTGTTGTTTGTGCTCCTACTGTATGATTTGGTGTTTGTTCTTTGTTATCTGCTCACAGTGAGTAATCATGTCAGGTATTCACCAGACTGAATTTGCCTTTGGATTCCTCGTCCTTGTTTATTTACCTGCCCCCCTCGCCCCCTGCCTTGACATTGTTTGCGTGAGCATAGTCATACAAGTGATGATAAATACAAAGAGAAGAGGCATCAATAGGACACTCTTTGAAGTGGCCACTCAGATTTTGTAAGAGAGGAGTAGAACGACTTAATGATCAAATTGTTCTTAAAACTGAAGTGTGTGGAAAGGCTAATTTAACTGCTAACAGAAAATCATCTTAATTTGACCTGAATTTTTAACACATGGGAGAACTTTTGTAACTTCTGGAGAAAAGGTTTTGAGATGTGAAAATTTAGGAGGGCAGGGATGTAAAAGAGCACAAGCAAACACCAGAGGCCTAGGACTTCTGTTAAGTGCATTTCTTCTATACCATTTCTCTATACATTATATTCACTCACAGGATCTAAAACTGAAGAGCAAGCAGAGGCTAGGATTAGCATGAGGGGGAATCTGACAAAAAAAAAAAGTGTAATCAGTTGAGAAGTTTTTGCTCACAGGTTTTCCATCAGGTCAAAGGTTTGCAGGTCTGTTCACCAGTATTTGATGCTTGTGTTTTATCTGAAAAGAGGCAGTGAACTGATTGATAGGCATTGCCTTTTTGTGTCACAGCTGTGCTAATGCATTATCAAAATACTGCACATCTATGATGGATTTAAAAATGGAATAAGGAAAAGTAAAGATCAGACCTTACAGATGTATTTATTAATGTCTGCCTAGTATATGAGAAGTGCATACATATGTTTTGTGGCAATATTTTTCATTAAAACATTTTCTCTTATTGACATAAATCTTTGTCAGTCAAAACAAGAAAGTGCTATTAAAAAGTCATTTATACTTCTTGTGCATTCTGTAAAGTGTTCTTTAGGCATATTCAGGAATACCTTTGTACTACAACATGCGGAATAGATTATAAGTAAAGATCTGCTATAAATACAAAACTGTTGACATAAAGTGATATTGCTCAGGCAAAATGGTGCTTCTAGGTGCCAGTCGAGTGTATTTGGGGTTTGTTTCTCCCTTTTTCTTCTTTTCAAAAGAAAAAAAATAATGTTGAAGCCATTTTTGTTCTTCTGAATTCCTATCCTCACAGATCCTAGTAGATCTGTCTGGGTTTTCACAAGTTTTTCAGCCAGGGAAGAATCTTGCCTGAAGATCTACAGGCTTAATCATTTCACGTTCAGTATTGCCATCGGCCTTTTTTGATCTTTTAGTATAGTGTTTTATCTCAGAGAACTTTCCAACATAGCCAGTGCTGCTCTGAGGAATGAAGAACACATTTTGGGCAATTTTAATCTTTAAATTCATTCAGAATTTGGAATTCATATCAGAATTTGGAAACGCAAATACTCTACTACTTATTCAGGTAGCATTTCAAAGAAGCATTACACTGCTGTAGGAGTGTTCACGTAGTA